ACCCTCTCCTTCCACTGTGGGGTCCCAGGGATCAAACTCAGGCTGTCAGGCTTGGTGGCAGGTGCCTTTACCTACTGAACCATCTCAATAATCCAATAAATGTTAATTTTATATTTAAAGTAATTTTAGGCTGAGGAGAGGACTTGATGGACAAAAGCATTTGCCATTCAATCATGAGTTCAGATCCCCAGAACCCATGTAAAGACAGACGTGGTGGCACACCTCTGTAATCCCAGCACTCCTATGGTGAGTGGCAGGAGAAATCCTGGAGAGTTGCAGACAGGCTAGCCTGGAGGATGCAGCAGAGATGAGACCCTGTCTCAAACCAACCAGGTGGAAGGTGAAGACTGACACTTCTCACCTCTACACACCTGGTGCATACCCAGATTGTTTTTAAGATTTAGGTGGTGCACGCCTTTAATCCCAGCACTAGAAAGGCAGAGGCAAGTGGATCTCTGTGAGTTTGGGGCCAGCCTGATCTACAAAGAGCTGTTCCAGGACAGCCTCCAAACCTGTTTAAAAAAAAAAAAAAAAAAAAAAAAAAAAAAAAAAAAGATTTTCTGCTGGTCTCTATTGGCTTAGCAGACAAGCCTGAGAGAACCGTGGACAAGGAGGGTGCTGTCTCAGACAGCATCAGGAAAACAGGAACTCAGGTCTTCTGGGAGCCCCCTGAATACATTGGAACATTGTTTGCTTAGATGAAGTTTCCAAAGTCCGCCTTTTCTGAGAGGGTGAGTCAGATGTGCACAACTGTGGGGCTGTAAGGTGTTTTGATAACACAACTGTCCTGATGTTGCTGGCCCCACCCCTGACCTGCAGCATCCTTAACTGTAAGATTTATTTGAATGAGGGATACCAGTGCCTGGGGGGTGGGGAAAAGGAGCTGCCCCCAGGGCACACAGGCTCTCCTGGGACAGCTGTGATAGATCACTGTCAACTGAGCCTTGTCCCCAGAGTGCAGTGGGAGTACCACACAGCTCAGGTGTGGGACAGTGATACTGACTACAAGTGGTCAGCCGGGAGAAAGGGGGACTGCTGCTGCTCTCTATGGGACAGATCAGGAACCTGACAGCATAAGGCAGAAGTGAACTGTAGTCTTTAGAACTTGGAGCATCGTGGGGGTGGGGAGGGGAGTTGCTCTATGTAGACCAGGAGAGGCCTGTCCTGCCCCATGGAATATGAGCAATAAAAGACTCCCACAACACTTTCTATCTAGACAGTCCTCTGAGCCTCAGGATGACAGGACCTCCAGGGTCTGATGTGTCTCATAGGGCTTCTGTCCTGCCTCACCACCCTTTTACCATCAGTCATAGAGGAGGTGGGGTGCCGATCAAGAAGCTCCAGATAGCCCCAGGCTGTATGTGGTGAGCAGCTGAGAGACAGTGTGCTTTAGCCCACCCCATCTCACTCCTGACCCCCCTCTTCACTCTAGGTGGAAGACAGACAGACAGAATTGGAGACACTGGACAAAGAGGGAAGGATCCTGGAAGGAAGGCATGAGGAGGCTTGGCAAGGTGAGGACTGAGAGGCGCAGGACGCTCCTCAGGGAGCCCTTGGCTTTTCTCTCGGGGTGTGCCTTTGCTATTCTGTCACCATGCTCTGCTTTCCTTTATTTGAGCATCCTCCCCACCACACCCATTTTTCTTCCATTTTAAAAGCATCTACAGGAAGTCTACCCACTTTAGGTGGGCGTAGCAGCACACGCCTATAATCCCAGCAGTTAGGAGATGGAGGCAACAGGAGGATCAGGAATTCAAAGTAAACCTCTGCTACACACTAAGTGGAGGTCAACCTGGGCTACTCCAAACCGTGTCTCAAAAAGGGAGGTCTCCCAGTCTAGAAAAACTAGACAAATGAAATCACTCATTTTATAATTCCATCCCTATAATGATGACTACTAAAAATTAAGGCTAGAACAGGGCTAGTTGATGGCTCCATGAATAAAAATGCACGTGGCACAAATGTGAGGACCTGAGTTCAAATCCCTAGAACTCATGTAAAGATGGACCACAGTATGTGCCTATAATCCCTGCTCTCATAAGGTGAGATTGGAGGTGGATCCCCAGGATCTCACAGTCCAACTAACCTAATGTCTGCAGCAGCAAACAAGATCAACATCTGAGGCTACCCTCTGACCTCTGCTTGTGTTTGTGCTTAACACACACCATTTACACACAGAGATATAAAAGAAATTACAGCTAGGATAGTCAGACTTGGCCCATGGCTTACAATCCCATCACACAAGGCTAAAGGTAAGAGGACTATATATTTAAGGCCAGCCTGGGCAACATAGTGAGTTAAAAGCCAACTGAGATACACAGCAAAAACCTGTCTCAAAAAATTAAGCAAAGGCTGGAGGTATGGCTCAGCAGTTGAGAGTATGTGCTGCTCTTCCAGAGGACCTGAGTCTGGATCCCAGCATCCTCATCTAGAAGCTTACAACCACCTGAACTCCAGTCCTGAGGGAACAAGTCCTCTCTTCCAGCTTCCACAGGTACTATGGTCATGTCGTATACCACACACACACACACACACACACACACACACACACACACACACACACTAATTTTTTAATTAAATAAGTTTTGTCACATTCTTAGTTTTTAAATACTTTAGAATTGAAATGACTAAGTTCATGTATACTTTTTCAGATTAGCAAATCATACCTACAGCATTGGTATGTGTGACACTAGTAACATTTAGTGCATTCACCATGCATGCAGTCATTACTACCACTCAGTTCCAGAACATTCTCCTCACCCCAAAAAAAGGAACACCCAGGAGTAGTCACTCTGAATCTTCCCACCAGCCTCTGGCAACTGCTAACCTGCTCCCTGATTTCATGGTATCAGATAGCCTGGCTTACTTCACCCAGCAAGATGCTTCCATGTTACAACATACATCCGGACTCCATTTCTTTTTTATGGCTGAGTAATACTCCACCAAATAGACATACCATACTTTGTTTACTTATTCATCATGGATATCCAAGCTGTCTCTGCCTCCAGCCACTGTAGAACTTACTTGGACTGGTGTTTTCATTTCACCTCACTTTACATGTAAGAGGAGAATATGATATTTCTATACTTAACCTTTTGAGAAACTCCCAAACTCTTTCCATAGAAGTGTTCTACGTTGTGCTCTTCCCAGCAAGGTCTAAGGGTCCCAGTGACTCCCAGCCTTATCGGTGTACGTTGTTTGTCCATTGCTGTCATCACTGTGGTGAGCATGAGGTTGCATCTCATTGAGGGTGTTTGTTTTGGAGTTCTGCTTGTTTTATTGCTATTGTTTGAGACATAAGCTCACTGTGTAACCCTGGATGGCCGGAACTTACTAATAGCCCAGCCTGGCCTCCAGCTTGCAGTGATCCTCCTGCCTCAGCCTCCTGGGTGTTGGGATTAAAAGCATATGCCACCACACCCAGCCAATTTGTTTGCTTTTGAGACTGTTTGTCACTAAGCCAACTGGGGCCTGAGCTCAACCTCCTAAGTACTGAGGTCACCATAGAGGTATGACACCATGCCTAGTTAATTGGGCTTTTGATCTGCATTTATTTAACTGCCAACTAGTTAACATCTTTTTGTGTGCTGTTGGCATTTTGTATAGCTACTTTGGGAAAGGTATATATGTTTTAACAACATTGAAATTGACTTTGAAAATGAACATACAGCCTCCTGACCCTTCTCCAGAATTACTTCTTTTTTGTTTTGTTCTGTTCAAGAGAGAGTATCTCTATGTAGCTCTGGCTGTCCTGAAACTCATTATGTAAACCATGCTGGCCTTGAACTCACAGAAATCTGTCTGTCACTGCCTCCTGAGTGCTGGAATTAAAGGTGTGCA